AGAGAGAGAGAGAGAGAGAGAGAGAGAGAGAGAGAGAGAGAGAGCTGGTCGTGCTCGCGCGTCCATGAAACTCGGCTGTATACGCGAACGTGATATTGGATTACATCGAATTCGGCTTCAAATATTTAACTTTATGGCCCAATAAATATCTGCTACATTGACGTCATTGGTGTGTCCACACAATCGAGTGTGCGGCGTGCAACGTGATCGAGCCAGCCGATCCATCCGTGTATCCTTGTCATCGTCTTCCGTCGCGTTGGACCATTTCCAACTGATGTCGGTGTCTTGCTCCGCGTACGGTCATACATTGCGCACCCAAGAAGCCGAGCAACGCCGTACGGCCGCCGAAAGAAATCACGAAGAAGGGAAACGTTTTGGAGATAGATCAGAGTGTTCTCTCTCTCCCCGACCCGGTACTCGACCTCATGAATACCACGCGAAATGTAATCTTTCTCAACCCCCCCGTTCCCTCTTCTCCCTGATTTCCTTCTTTCTCTCTCTCTTTTTCTTTGCATCGTTCCTTTCACCCCGTCTATAGAGCCCGCCGCGCCGTATGCTTTTCCGTAAGGTGATACGAAAAGCCTCGCTGCCCTGAAGAGGACCCGGTGCATCGCGGGAATATACATATAATATCATATACTAAAGGAACAATTGCACAAACTTTGTTTTCTCTTATTTGCGCAAGTTTTGATCAATATTGGCGTTATAATCGTACAATAAAGTACAAAGGTATTGCCTCGTATTATTCATCTGGCATAATATCTTGAATACTTAAAAAGGCGTGACCTGGCGCGCGTGGAGGCGCGTTTTATAAGAATACAATTTTCTTCATCACATCTGTTTCGCTCCTGAATTTTTCAGGAGTCTGAAGGTAAATTAAGTTGTGATTTATACCCGTGAAACTCGCGCGCTCTCACTCCCTCCACTCGCTCTCACTCACTCAGTCTCTTGCTACCTCCTTTTATTAACGTTCTGACGGAAAGGACACGCGTCGGCTAAATTGCCGGAGAGGTCGACGTCGGGAGGACGTAGGAAGACGGACGGCAGGTGGAGGTCGAGGAAGTGGGACTGCATACCAAACTCTCGGCTACTTTATCTCGTGCAGTCTCAGTCTCCCCCCATTTTCGGATTAAGTGTTGATCCCTCGCTTTACGTGCGCTCATCTTAGCATCGGTGACGTTCGTCGCGTTCGTCAAGTGATCCGACGACAATGCCCAGGAACATCGTTCGGCTGAGATTACCTCCTTGTTCTTCTTCGCACGGCGATTTATGATCGTATATCTGACCGTATTTCCGATAGGTAAATTATCCCCGTACCTCGTTAATGGTCTCCCGGGAAGTCGAGAGTTTATAGTACACATATATAAATCGTCTATTATCTTGTCAATCAGGTATTATCAATTGTTGATTATTAGCGCGATTAGCGCGATCGAGAGGTCGATTGACTCGTTGCTGTTTCCCGAAGGAAAGTTTTATGCCAAAAATTGGGAACGGGCAATAGTCGTCGATCGAGAGGACGCTCTCTTGTAAATGACGCGCCTATCCACGTACGCATAACAATACGCCATTTTTCACGCTGACCGAAACATAGAGTCTCCTATCGATAATCGATGGGTATACGCGACAATGGCCGGTCAGGGTGCATTTATATCGCCAACGTTAATTATCGTACGGTGCGCGCGTGATCCATCGATAAAACGCAATTGCAAGAATCGTGCAACAATAGGCGATTGTGCTTGCCGCAATTTAACTCTCAAAGTTAAACAGATCGAAAAAGAGAATTGGTCACCAGGGGAGGCCAATGAGAATGCGAGATATTCGACGATACATTGTTCTTTCAGTGGCATTTGACGTTGCGAATCGCGATACAAACGAATGCACGAAAGCTCGCTTGCACAAAGGCACTCAAACCGCTCGAAACGATTAAATTTTAATTGCGCTAGTATCGAGCGAGATATTTCAATAATCGACAGCGCGTCAAATAAACGATTGGTGTAATGCCTTTGCGACGCCGTCGTAAAATTCTTATGCAGTTATTGGTATCATTAGACGTGCGTAAATAATCCTTTGCCCGATCCTTCTCCCGATATCCTTTTCCCGATCGTTCTCGAACGATACTTGCACGAAAAACTCTATTAATACTGTTCCATTTTCCAGCACAGTGATATTTGAAATTATAGTCAGGCGCGTTATATTATAAACTAGCTTAAACTACCCGACGTTGTCCGAGTTATCACAAAGTATCAAGGAGAGGAAATCAGAGGAAGAGAGTAGAATATTCTAAGCTTCATGTGGTTATATTTTTCGCAGGATTTTAGAGAGAGTAACATGCAATATTTTGTTCAGATCGATCAAAGGGTTTAGAAGTTGATAGGGAACATATTCTGCCTTCCGCACATATAGATATTTGTACATCACGACTGTTGATTTTTCGAGGAATTGTTCAAACAATCAACAGTCATGTGATGTATGAAAACATTTATAATATAGTTCATCCGATCGAAAATGTCAAATGTCACTATACTAGAGAATGGGGCAGCATTAATGGAGTTTTGTGTACACTGTAATGCGCAAAATCGATCCTGCGTATAAAAAAATGCTTGATGGAAAAATGAACGAGTTACGCGCTTAATCTCTAGAGATATTTCAGTGCATGTATTTCAGTGCATACCTAAAACTTTCGAGTTGTTTCAGAACGAGTTTCTCGTACGTTGCGAGATGCTTGACGATTCACGTCCTAATTATATGGTTATATTTTACTGCTGCGAGGTTTTAATTTCATTTTCTATAGAGACGAACTAACGGATACAATAAAAAAAGTTCTTTTTAATAAAAAGTTGAGATTATAGAAATTTTTCAAAAAATCTGCATAAATTTATATAACTTTTTAGAACTTAACAATTATAGAACTTAACATCTCGCATCTCGCGAGTGGGATATCCAGATGTTGTTATTAAAAACGTAACAAAACGTTTTCTCTCTTCTGCCTTTCTCTCTTTCTGTCTTAATGATTTGTCACTTTGTCGTACAGTTCCTCGTGAAAACGAAGCAAACTGCACTTTTCTGAGGCGATCGACAAATGTTGCGCGCCAGCAGAAAGAATGATCTTGACAAATTACTGAAATGGGAGAATGGCAGAGAAGAATAAGTGCGGAGAACGTTAAGCAGATAATCCCTTTGAACTCGCGTTAGAAGATTCTCTGCTATAACACGAAGAAGCTACACCATCTCATCTGTTGGAAGCGAAAGCTTACGATATAATCTTACATCAGCGAAACCGCGCGGATCAGGAAAATAAGTAAAAGAGAAAACCGGCACCGATCCTTTTTAGCGCGAGCTTGCAGTTTTATGTGATTTGGCGGGAGCGAAACCAGTACGGCATCGTATTTCTCTCCACAGAAAAGAACTCGATCTTCTTCTTTTTTTTAATTAATATAAATACGCGCATAATAGGCGTTAATAATGTTTTTCGTGAAATCTTAATTTGGACTCTAATTGTAATTTTAATTCGGAGATTTCTCAAAACATATTTCTCAAAACATATTCCCCGTTTTCATTTTTCAATATAGGCTGTTACGCTTGCATAGCGCGGTGTTCATCGTTCGCCGTTAGCGCAAAAAAATTACGCAATTTCGCGGCTTTCCGCGCTTTTCGCGCGTTTATTAAAATCTTCCCGGCGTTTACCATTTTCCGTTGTTCGTTTCTCACTTTGGCTGCCAACAGTCCCCGCGTTTCGCTCTTCATATCCTTTCGTTTCGCCGAATGGCTCGGTACACACCGCCGATTCTCCGTGCCCGAAATATGGCGAGATGAAGTCTTTCCGCGTCGTTTTCGCGAACCGAACGAAGAGGTGGTCGCGGGTTTTCTCTCTTTCTTTCTTTTTTCTATAACCATCTACCTCGACTACAGAGCACTTCGTTTTCAATTATCCTTTTAAGCGACCTGCGCTGTAAGAACGTCGCGAACGAAGCCAATTTGCTATCCGACCGCTAGCGGACTACTTCGAGATTCGAGCGTTGCTTCTACTTCTTCTTCTTCTCCTTGTTCCCGTTCTTCTTCTCTCTCTCGTACACTTTGTCGCCAGAATATTGGATCGCAACATATTGTCGAAGACATATCGAGTTTCTTTTTTCACTCTTTAATTAATCTATGTTACTGCAAATGGCATTTCGAAAAAAGATAAAAGAAAAAAGATACGGTTACGAAGGTCGAAGGCTTTTCTCTCGGCTATTCGCGACTGCAGCCAACTGTGTTCGGTATTCTTGGATCTCTCACAATTCACTACATTTATCTTTTTGATGTGTGTGTACACGTACGTATTGCGCAACTTTATTCGGATACTCGTACCATTGCTAAGGAAATACGGTTTCCCCCGTTTTGTCGAACGATCTTTCGTTTGATAGACGACGTAGTAAGAGATCTACATCACAATCGTTCCTCGACTATCCAGTCTCCTTTATATCCTTCTTCTACCTGTCACAATGTCACGCTACATTAAGTCCGTTCGTCCTAAACTCGGTCACGCGGGTGTCGAAAAGGGTCGGAACAAGAAGGCGTTGAGCGGGCAAAGGAAGCATGTAAATTCGGCAGAGTAAATAGTAGAGAAAGTGCTCCCTTTCTGTGTCGCTTCTTTTGAACAATTGTGTCGAATTTGCAAGGGAGTATTCATTTAGAAGAGTCCACAAATGACACTTCACATCCGGGATTTAAAGTGTGTAAAGGGTGTAAGGGTAAGGTGTGTAAAGGGTATGTTAATTGCGCCCGAGTCGCGTGTACAAATTAGAAGATGATCGCACCTTTCCTCTCTCTTTCACCGTCTTCCTCGCGAGATCCACGTTTCGGCACGACGTTATCTTCATCATCGTCACTGCGACCTTGGTACTGACATTAGGCGCGAGAATCGTCAGTCCACATTATCACTTACCGTTAATATGTAGGTTGACGTGAATGAATTTAGGCGGATGGGTGCTGATCTGACACTCGTATTGGCCCTCGTCGCTACTGTTAACGCGCTTGATACGCAGACGCCAGTTGTCCGGGTACTGAAACTCGATGGTGTACCTCGAATCGCCCGTATACGTGTGCTGACCCACCGTCAGCAGATTCATCTTGCCGCCACTCTCCTGCCGACGTACCCAGGACACCTGCGAGAAACGGTCTCTCTAAAGAGCGGGCCCGCTCGAAACCCTATTGTTAGAGTATCGCCATCGACTCATTTGCGTGATCGTTTACCTCGCGAAATTGCTCGTTTGCGAAGACGCGAATGCACCCGGGAATGACCCTCTCGGCAAAAACACGCGGAGCAAAAGAAGTCTTTCGGTTGGAATGCACATTTTCTCCCCGCGTTATTCTTTCCTTTTCTTGATCGCAAAGAATAACGCGAGCTCCAGGTGAACCGGATTCCGCGCGATGCGGTACAAATACGCGCGCGAGTCGAACCTATCGAGGTTTGAGAGCGAGTTTGCGTGAGGAATGGATCGAGCTACGGGTGGCGACGGGTGGATACGGGGCGGAAGGTTTATTCACGTAACTGGAATTGGATAATGTGTTCCGAGTAACCTCATTAAATGTAAACGTGGTATCGCACATCTTCTGCATGGGTATCCGCGAGAACTAATTAGGCGTTATCAGCACACCGGAGACTTGTGCGTTGCCCTATGGTTGGCTGATATTCGCGCACAGTGTAAGTCATCATCCTTCGAGCTTTGCTTCTCCCGCGGCGCGGAAGTCCGTCCGTGTTTATTCTACTCGAACGCGGAAAATAGACAGTCGCGAAAGCAGGTATTCCGCGCGTTTCCGTTCCATTTCGTATTAATGAGTTCCGATATTGACGTCAAAATATATTCAGCATTATACAGATCACTCGCGTCTCTTTCTTTAATTTAGAGTCAATCGGTCGGAATGATTAATGGTTTCGCGTCCGCGAGTAACGACAAACGATTCGAATTAACGCTCAATCAATAAAAGTCGAGTCGCTTTCGTAGGGCTTGTGAGAAACAGTTGCGATGTCGCGTGTACATAGAAATCCGTGTGTGTAAATATTTAATTTAATATAATGCGCATTTCGCGGTATTGGCTACCTATACTATAAACTGCCAGGTAACAGGATATTATCTGTTCGAGCGCCAGGGAGATTCATGCGCACATAACCGATATCTGACCGCATAATTTGTTCTATAGTTTGGACCATGGATAATGTGGAAACTGTTTGTAACTGTATTACGGCAATAAATGCATTTAAAATAGGTACGGTAGTGGTAGTTTTGGCAATAAAGCCATTTGCGGCGAAGTAGCTTTTCTAATAAAATTAGTCACACAATTAAACATCACCGCGTATCATGGCAATTCTTTTTTATCGCATCTGACTGTGTGTGTGAGTGTGAACGCGGCAAAAAGCATCTGCACTCGCGGAATTGTTGCGTTTAATGAGAGGTGTGGTCGCGCACGATATCAAGGTACGCGAGTAAATAAACGCATAGAAAAAGAAAAAATGAGAGAAAAAGAAAAAAAAAAACACGTGAAGAAAATTTTATACAAAGTCTAACGAAACGCAGGATTATTCGGATTTGCTATTGAATTATTACGTGCAGATTACGCGTGCAAACGACCAGGTCACCGGCAGAGATTATGCGAATTTCTCCTTAAATTTGTTCCTTGAAGTATAAAATATACGGCCACTCGTGCGCGCCAGCAGATTAATCATAATAAGCTAAACGTAGCTTAGCCGCCGTAATAAGGCGAAGTATTCCGAGATTAGGCGTGAGTTATGGCGCTATGAATTCGTAGCGCGGGTGACTAAAGGACGCGGCCGACCGAGCAGATACGACTAACGCGAGAATGAACGACGGAAGGAGCAAACATACTCGAATATGATCGAGTGCTTACGGTTTTGTCTTGCAGCAGGGATATCCTGCAGTCGAGGGTGACGCTAGCACCAGCCTGCACCGTGATGTTGGAGCTCTCGCCTTCGAAGTGAGGGCCCCATCTGTGATCATGATGATGTTGGTGCTTGTTTAGAGTGCTGTGCGCGTCGAAAATGTAGTTCAGCATCGGGGCATCCGTCGGCACAGATCGTTTCGCCGCCGTGGTCGATTTTGTGGAAACCGGGTCCGTTGCTAGAGGCAGTTCTGTGTAACAGAGTTTATACAAAAATGTCAATTACATTTAGAAATGTATTAAAAAACATCACGGCCAGAGAGAAAAAGAGAGGAAGAGAAAGAGAGAGAGAGAGAGAGAGCGTAGAATATTATTTTGTTTCGTTTCAATCGAGCATTTTCTTCCATATGCAAAGAGCATACGGAATGAATCGACATAAATTAATAACTCGATCCGTATCGTGTATTAATGAATAAAGAGGTCAGTGGGTGTCGTGCGTAATGTAACAAATAGGCGGATTGTCGTATCATTTAATATTTCAAACAACGAGATGCACACAAGTCATGTACGGATAGCGTAGTGGACTCGTTCAAATTGTCACGGCTGTTTACGGCGTCATATTGCGCGTCACATTTATTTACATATTACACCCTGGCGGTTTTCCCGTCGCTTTTTGCATTCAACCCATGACACCTGACCGTAACTCGTGACTTTATTTAATCGATTCGCCGGCGTTTCCCCGTTTTGGGCCATCGCTCAGGTTATCGACATTTAGTCAACCTGCCAATAACGGCCGATATCAGCGTAAATATGCATTTATCGCCGCGACAGACGGAGTCAGGACACGCGCGATATTCTCCATCTGATATCTTCGTTTTTGATGCCGTGTCGCAGCTTGATGATCGAGAACGATGTTGAGAATTTTCCGACGCATAATTTCGCGGAAATCGCGATCGGGAGAATCTTGAGTCGAGCCAAAGAAAACAATGCAAAAGTTCTTCTCTTTATCTATCCATCCTTCCTTTTCCGATTATCGCATTTACTTTGCTTCTTATCTGAGACATAAGAATCGAGCGATAAACGTGCACTTTCAACTTTGTTAATGATAATTTCTATGGTGCCGCTTTATGGTACCATAGAAGTTTGCGGCACGATCCGACATTGTCTCGCGTTCCCGCGTCGAGTATCTTCGCGCGTACTCCATCGCAGGAGTCAGGGACGAAGGAGAGAAAGACGGGCGAGAGTACGGCGGAGAGCCGACAGCGAAGGAGAGAACGAGTAAGATTTCGCGCGACACAACGACGATGGAGAAAGTCACGTTGCTCGTTCGTGTCTCGAGAATCGCGAAGTTTAGACGCTAACTCATGACGACGAGTTTCTCCGGGTTTGTAGCACAGGATGCAGGAGCACCCCGGCAAGCAGACAGCTCACGGACTGCTTGCAGGATCGAACGCAAGATGTTGAGACACGAGAGGTGTCGAGCCTCTCCGAAGGAGACGGAAACAAAGGATTTGTTTCGCACTCTGTCTCTGTCTCTCTTTCTCTCTCTCTCTCTCTCTCTTGCATACGTGCTTTTTAGTACACCGCAGGACTGTCGTCCTCTGATACAAACGAGGATTCATAAATTCTCGTTTGAAAAAATGATACTTTCACGTTACATTGCTTATTTAAGTCTCGGATGGTCTTTCCAGTAGCCGTGGTAGAATAAGAGTCTAAAAGAATAAGAAAAGGGTTTTCTTCTGACGTAGATAAAACAGCGAGCTAACAAATGTCGTGTTGTCCCTCTATTATGTGTAGCTCTACTCTTTATCCTCTCTGTGTTTACTTAGCGGAGTCAGATATTTCTCGATGTTTTTATTGGAAAAAAAAAAAATTGTACCGCCGTGAAAATGCGTGCGTATAATTTTTCGTTGGCGCTTGAATTCGCGCACAATGCAGGTAGAAAATACATCGTTTTAATTCATGCATCCGACGACGGGTGGCTCTCTAAAAATATCCCGACTTGTAGTATCAAATGTCCTCGTATCTGTTGTAATGTATTTTCGAGTTATCGATATGAATACACAGCACGTGCCACTGTGGTAGGGTTGTCCGAGTTGTAAGCCAGGCCGTAAATGTATGTGAAACCGATCGGGAGTCGTATCGAAAAAGTCGACGTGTGGAATATAGACAGACTTCTCCTTCGCGAGGCCCGTCACGTAGCGCCAACAGAAGTTGGATTTGAGAGCTGCGCGAACGTAAAGCCCGCTCGGCAGAGTCGATTGTTCTACGGCCGAAGACGAATTGGAGCACTTGCGCCAGGTAATCCTGACTTTCATCGAGTCAGCGATAGGTGCGCGCGGGAGTTCCCCGGGCGACCTCCGTCGTGGAAATCCGACACGGAATTCCCGGCGTAGCGACAAAGGGGAGGAGAATATAGGGGCTGCACAATCCCGCGACGAAGTCGCACGTCAAAAGGGGATCAGTATGCCGCGGAGCGCGAAATTTTCTTTGCAGCTCGCGCGTTTGCTCGCGCTTGCTCGCGCAACTCTCTTCTTCCCTCTCGTCATCCCGTGTGTCTCCGAAGCTCTGCCTTTCTCTTTCTTCCGCGGCATTCCGTTTCTCTCCTGTCGCCGTTTGCCCCTCCGTCCTCTTCCTTCCTGTTTGCGCCGACGCGCCAATTCCCGTTCTCTCGATCGCGGAAATTTTTCCCTCGCCGGAGGGATGAAAAACTGATCGGAAATTCCGGTGGAACTGTTGGAAGCGTGTCTCGGATACCGAGAAGGATCTATCTAGTCAAGCGGTCGTCGGCTCATCACACGATCGCACACATAGACACACGTACATCTCCTCTGTTCTCCCTGTTCGTTCTTTCTCTCTCGAGGATATGAAAATTACTATTGATACCACCATCGGCCGAGAGTTCATCTTTGACACGCTTAGGTTGTAGAGGAAAGAGCTCGAAAGTGTGCGAAGCTTGTAATTTTTCAATCACTGTGATGAATTGATATAAATCGGAACACTCTTTTTCTTTTTTCATCGATAGACAAGAGAAGGGTTCTTTGAATATTCCGGCGGGATATCAGCCGCAAATTTATACGTCTAACGTCTAATGTCCATGTCGTCGTTGTGGATTACACTGGGACATACGGGCGATCCGTAGATTCATGTACGCAGCAACGTTCGCGGATTTAATGCCGGCGCAATAAATCGCGGCCCTGTTCTGAATTTATAATTGGCTGTTTCTTCGTGCGGGTATGTGCGCCGACTGCGCGATTTTATTCAATGAGAGAATCGGTCGAATATATCTGCGTTAGGATTAAAGAGCTTCGTAATAAGAGTAAATACGTATACAATAATAGCGGTAATATATGGCGATAAATGTGGTTTGCTGAGGAGAGAAGGTTACGATTGCGAAATTGTTATTTTCGAATTGGAAATAATAGGGGCAATGAATCATCGATTTTCGCGGCGAAAAACAGCCTGAACATATCTGCGCCGTGGCAGGTCGAGCGGCGATAGCTTTTCCGGCGAGAAGCGTTTGCATAATTAAAAACAGTTTCTGTTGTTCTTAGTCGCTTCTTTTAATCGCGATTGCTGGAAAATGCGATTAGCGTGCGAAATCCGTACGGTCGTTAAATAAATAAATAAAGGAAAGAGTAAGGAACCTTGTTGTTTGCGCTAGCGAAATCGTTTGATATTTCCTCGAATTATCTCGAGGGGCGCTCTTTCTCGTTGACGATTACGCGGCGCGATATACGGCTCGCCTTACGGATAAGATCAGTCTTGAGATAGAATGACCCATATACAAAACGGGGTCTCAACAGCTGGTAGAGGAGGCGAGTAGAAGCGGCCGGGTAGGATCGTTAATCCTCGGGCGCTCACACGAAATACAGCGTAATTCTACTTTCGAAGTCCGGCATTCGGATACTGAGCGGAAGAGAGATAGACGCGTCGGTATGTCGTTGGTACCAGCTGATTGCAACCATTTGTTGGCAAGATGTACGTTCTTGAATCACGTTGAGATACTAGATTACACAGCGTGACTAATTACGCGAATTTGTTCCGTCAGACGCCGGCGAGATCTTGAGTCAGCGGCGCGAAGAATGTTTCGAGGAGACGAGGAATATATTTTCTTTATTTTTTTCTTCTTTCTTTCTATTTAACCGTCTCGCCCGTGTAATCCGTTTTTCGGATGTAGACGTCAGCGACACGACGTTTCTAGTTACGAGAGTGTTCATTTAAACGCGACAGTTGGCGAAATGACGTTTTAATTGTAAAGGCATTTTGCTTACGTAAATACATTTTTCTCTCGCATTTCCACGCATAATTGAATGTTGCAGTCGCGGTACAAGGAGCGCGATTTTAAAACACTGCGAGATTGGGATTTTCAGAATAGGATATCGCAAAATCGACTTTATACGATCGCGGGCCGGTGCTTTGAGAGGTACACTTCAAAGGTAGGCAGAACTAACGGCAATTTGAGAGCCGATTGCGATTGGGAAATGGGGCTTCTTTGTGAGGAAATGGATTTCTTCGCTTCAGCCAGATTTTCAGCATTCTTTCGTGCTAAAATACCGAGAAGGTTAAGCGTGCATGCAGTCTCGCCTACGTTTCGTGCGTCCCAGGTATCGCGCGAGCGAGTGGAGAACATGTGCGATTGCGACCGCGGCATGCGTTGACCAGCACTACTTCGGAATTGCGCGCGTGTGCGACTATATTGCATGCTCTATCCTCGTTTTCGGCTTGCGTTCGGGAACGTCAATCTAGAACACTGATTTGCAACTCTGGTATGATTGGCCTCATTTGTAAATAGTCACGATTTCAAAATGAGTTCTCTAATCGTTCTGCTAGTCGTTTAAAGATAATCATACTTTCACTTTGAAATAATTCGCCTCTGTCGATACCAACACGGGATTTTTAAACTTCAAAATATTTTACGGTAAAAATTACATTTTCTATAAAAATTCTGGCAAAAATCCTTACCGAATCTTAAATGAAGAAACATACAAATCCTTCTTCTTTTAATTATATTAAAATCGAAAAGAAAAAAATTTCACAAATAGCTGTCGAAACAACATTCACTTTAGCTTGATGTTAGCTCAATGCTAAATTCGATCTCCATGCTCAAGAACAGAGGGAGAGAGAGAGAAAGAGAGAGGGAGAGATTGGAAGGATGGTAGAGAAAGACAGACAGAAAACAAGGTGTGCTGAATGTACGGCATAATACATAGTACGGTCGAAATCGGGATAAATAATTCCAATCCGCAGT